GACAATTCGACCCTCAATCGGTCATCCGTCGTCACGTTCAGTGCCACTAAAGCACTTACATCGGCGGCAAATACCCGATCATGCACCAGAACGTCCGACAAAGACTCTACGCCACTGGAGACGTCAGCGGCTAGAGGTGTGTATTGCCAGTGGAAGTAGCAGTCGTAAAAAACCGCCCGCCCTGCAATCGTCAGTTCGGTTAGCGACCCCTCAACATTCTGTCGAGGAGCCAGCCGTTATCGGACCACGCCCGTGTTTTTCGCCACGAGGCGAAATATCGGAAGGTTTTCCTGGCGAGTCCCCCGTTGCAAGGACCCCAGACCGTGTCAGTGTCGAATCTTTTTCGACCGATTCCACGGAAGAAGGGATGCTTCTGGACCGATCGCCGGACAATGGAGTCAGCGATCTCGACGAATTGGCGGCACACCTGGAACTCGGCCGCGGTGAAGACTAACATATCTTCTCTTTTTGTGTCGTGTTGTTTTTGTGTTGTGTGTTTTCGGTTTTTTTTGTGTTTTGTTTTTTGCCGTTTTTTGGTTGTTTTTTTATTTGAACCCTTTTTTTATATATTTTAAGTGTTTGTTTTCGTGTTCAAGATACCCCGAAGAGCTTTTGTTTTAATAAAAGCGAAACCGGTTGGTAATCAGTCTTTAGAATCAAACAAACACTCAATTCTCCATTGCGTGTCATTAGTGCATTTATAGCCAGTCTCTTTCTAGAAGATTAGGTGTGTTGTAGATACGACCTCCTCCTCTTTTATTTTTCCGAGCTAAAAACCGACCAGAATATGTATACGGTTTCCTTCGAAACCGGACGAAAAATAATTTGCCTGATTTGCTATGGAGAGTGAGTGAATCGTTGCTCGTAATGAATTCACTACGAAAAGAGCATTCGCAACGAGTTAGAGAGAAGAATCGAAGATATCATAGTAAGTAGAAAGTTCTTGTTATTGGTGCACAGATAGATAAAATAAGAAGCTGATTACGGCATTGTTCATCTTTGTGAATACTTGTGATAACAGCGTGGTGTTTCTAAAGGTGATGTTTTGGAATCAGCTGTAGATATGACGTAACAAAAATTTATTTCTGATGTTAGTTCGAAGGTTATATGCCAATTTTCTAATTACCTACTCAATATTCATCAAATTAAAAGCTCTTCAGAACTTTAATTCTGCGAACATTTAGTTTAAGAAACTTTTCAGAAACACTCTGGTTCTTAACATTTACTGTTCTGGCCGTATTCTAAATTGTGTGATATATTTTCCAATATCATGAAACAAAAGGCTTTTCGCATCATATTACAAATGTTTTGTTTGTGGTTAAACTTGACTTGACTGTAATAGCTATTACAGTCAAGTCAACCTTAACCTTAAACAAAATTTTTAAAATGTTGTATGAAAATCTAAATTCTTCTTAATATTTGTATGTCAGAAGCAACAATGTACGATTGCCGTTTAAGGGTCTAAGGACAGTCTTATTTAAATACATAGTACTAAGTCACCTGCTTCTATTGAATATTTTAAATGAAATCGTTCGAAAATTGTCACGTTTCATTCTATCCATCTAGTCCATTTACACTCTGGTGATATTGAAGGACCATACTCATAAACTGTATGTTGACAAATATAAAAATTTTAATTTTTTCATTATCCGCAAAATCATTTCGAGAACTGAGTTGAGTTCAGTCAATAAACAATGATGTATGTCAAACTGAAACGATTCAATATTTGGAAGTATGTTAACGAGATTAACATTGATTCAATAACTTTATATCGACAGTCAGACATTTTTAATTTTTTTATATTTAACATATTCAGTCGGATTTGTTGATTCGAAAATGTTCGCAAAAGCCAATAACCACCTGTTTCATTGATATCTTCATCTGCATCCGCATATGATAAACTTATTGAATTCAGCTCTGTTGCACGTAGTAGTAACTATTCCATCACTTCATCTGGTACATTCGAAATGTATTAGTGATTCAATGTATCAACTTTTATGGACTGGAGAAGAGAAGGTAAATATCTTTCAGGTAGTCCACTTATATTCAAAGAGCGTGCATTGGGATATTGTTGTGTAAAGTAAGAT